CCACCGTGGGCCCCACTACCTATAAATGTTCTCACCACCTGTACAATTGCCCTGATCCTTTGCAATGTATGGCCCGACAGAATACAAAGATTGTATAATACAAACAACTCACTATTGTTAAACTCTTGGACATTTACCTTTAAAATTTCCTGTCAGAATCTTCCTGAAACACTAATATGCTAAGGAATCCCAGATTTACATGTCTTGCTTTTACTGTCCCCCAAATCTTTGTCCCATATAATCCAAATAGCTGATCAACATTTCCACTTGGACTTCTTCCATCTCCTCAAAGCCAAATCTAAAACTAAACCCCAAGCTGTCTTGTCCTGATTTTCCTGTATCTGTTCTTACTACACAACTCTTCTAGCTTCCCAGTTTGAACTCTGTGAGTCATTTTTGACTTGTTCTCGCATCTAGTCATTCACCAAGTCCTGTCGATCCTCCCTTCACTTCTCTCTAAACCATCCTTTCCCTTTGCAATTCTTGAGCACTTATCCTCCCATGAAACCTGCCAACATCCTCTCTGAAGAAACTATACATGTCTGTAGAGCCACAGTCCTGAGACTGTGCCTGCTGTGTAGTTTGCATTCAGTAATTAGTGATGGAATATATTAGCAAATGCATAAAGGCTCTGTGTACAGAATTGACTCACTCATTCAAAATAGCAATTATTACTGATTTTCTCCTGCCTCTCCATTAAAATGTGTGCATTAATGTCAATATAGCCTAATGTACCCAAGTCCTTCAGTACCTACTCTGTGCCAGGCATTGTGCTAATCATTCTCATCTCCATTTTCTGCTGTAGTCCTTACAACTCTGTGAGGAAGATATTATTACTGTCATTACTGTTACCATCCCCATTTAACAAACAAAGACTCTAAAATTCAAGGGAACTTAGTAACTCTTTCCAGCTCATATAGCCAGTTAGTGTCAGAGCGGCCACTTATATCCAAAGGTTGTGCTATTTCTGTTCCATCTAGCTGCCTCATGTATTATCTGTACGTTTTATTTCGGAGGTCTAGGTACAGAAGAATCATTGGAGACAAGAATGCAAAACAGCCTTCCAGTATTTCCACTCTGTTTTTGTGCCCTGATTAAAAGATAGATGCCATTTAGATTATCTCTAAATCTCTGAACCCTGTTCCTGAGAACTGCCTTCCTCCTCAACCTGGCATTGCAGCCAAGGCCACAGTGAATTAGACCACAGCTAACCAGACCCAAGCTTGGCCATCGAAATTCCAAAACACTCATCTCTCTCCGCTGGTCACTTGAACTGAAGAGAATCAAACTTAAGATGAGTGGGGCCACATGCCTAAAGAGGCAGAGAAGGCTGGCCTTCAAGATTACAGAATGAAAAAAATGCCTGGAGAGAAGTCTTGACAAGAAACCATGCGCTTCTAACGGACAAAGACTTAGGGTCGCTGTTAGGGTCTCATAATTTTCCATCACTAGTTCCCAGTTCTTGAGAAACCCAGCTGTACTCCCTGCCTTTGGGTTATGTGAACTACCCCTCTGTCAACCTGCAAAAAAAAAAAAAAATCCTTCTATTTTTTAAAATGGTTTGGGTGCACTCCTATTACTTTCAATCTCAGTTAAGACAAAAACAAGTTTGGCCTATCAGTCAGGTTTCTTAGTTGCAAACCTACTCCAACTATTCAGATAAAAAC